AGTGTGTGTGTGTGTAACAGCATAGGGTTTTCCATCCCCTTATACTTCTTGAATTTTGAAGCTGTATTTTTGGTTCAAAGAATAAATTGTATTAGAGGGGGAATGTGCCATGGGATAATTTCACAAGGTTGTGAGTTGAGGGAGCTGGGTTTGAGCCACACGCATGACTCAAAACCCCAGGGAAGCCTCAGATACAAGGAGACACACGACCTTTTTGCAGCTTTTTCACCATTGCCAGCAAGTCTTCTGTCTTCAAAGACTTGGTCTGCCCTGTGGAGATGAAAACCAGAATTACAGGATCCAGTGATAGTGAGAGGGGACTGAGGAAAGGTCAGGCTCCCTGGGAAGGGAGGAAGTCCCAGTGGCTTCCGCAGACAGCTCTGGGCTGCACCCAGGATAGGCTGAGGGCCAGGGCGAAGCTTCCAGCTAAGCAGGGCCCCTGCAGGACCCCGTCTCTTGTCCCTGAGGTTTACAGTGTGTGCTAGATGAATCAGGGCCCCTAATGGAGAGCTTCTCCCTAGAGGTCAAAGGACACCACAGATCCCTTAATGAAACTCAGGGGTGAGAGAAGGGGAAGCACTTTTACTGCTGCTGTTCAAAATCAGTATGAAGTTCTAACCAAAGCAATAAGGCAGAAAGATTTCATATGAATTTCTTTAAAAATCATCATATGCCACATTTTGCATATTCTTAAAGAATTTACAGGTCTAGAAAATAGTAATTAATGACTTCTAACAATAAAAAAAAGAGACAACTGGGTATTATGAGCTTCTTGATGGAAAAACGTAACACCATCTATGAAGGATCCTTGCTAACCAAAAGAAAAGAAATCTTACCAAGGTTTCCATACCTAAATATCAATTCAAAGGAAATACAGGGGGCAGAGAAACATGTTAAATTATATCATGGGGATGTGATCAGTATTATAAGGCTCTGGCAAACTCTACAAGACAATCTTGTTTCTTCAACAAATTACAAAGAAGAAAGGGAAAACTATGATTGAGACTTGAGACATGTGTCAATCAATTGTAATGGATAGACCTAATTTTTTATCTTGATTCAAACATACTTTTCACCATATATACTTCTATATTTTTTAACATGACCCTGTTTTCCTTTTAGAATTATAATAACAACAAAAATAGAAATCAGAAAATATGTTGATACCTTAAACTCTTTTTAAGGCTTTCAGACTTTCTGGTGGTAAATACCCCTCACACAACTCCTCTGGATCAGAAATTCCACTTCTAGGAATCTATCTTAAGGAAATAATTAGGGATGATGGGAGAGATGTTCATTGTTTGTCATCTTAAAAGATGGAAGCAACCTAAAGATGCTTTAGTTGATTATAGCACATTTGTAGGATGAAATTCTTTGCAGCCATTAAAAATTAAGCTATAAACCAGGGGTTCTTAACCTGAACTTATTAAATTTTGTTCAACTATTTGGTGATATGTTCACTTTCTTTACATATTTTTGTCTTGCCTAAAACCTTTTACAAATTAGTATGCATTGATTTAATTTTGCATTTGAATTTTTAAATTACTTATTAAACAAATGTAGAACATGGAGTAAAAAGTAAAAGTCTCCCCTCACCAACAGCCCTGTCCTCAAGTCAATGCCCTTCCCAGTGTAACCACTGCCAACAGTTTGGTGAAGACACTCAGGTCTTTTAATAAAATGTATTTCATGTATTGCTTTAAGTTTTACTTTCTTAGCCAAGTAACATTCTAAAAACATTCAAACACTGCACAAACATGTGAAGTTAAAAATGAAACTTCCCCCCTTCTCTCCTTGGCCCCAAATCTCAGTGCCTTTCTCTGAACTTAATAGCCTGGTTTGTACTTTCTTGAGGCTTTAAACATTTTTAAATACTCGTAATATTTGGAAATTAAACAAAAAATTAAAGCTATTTTAGTAATATGGAGAGGTGTTTGTTACTGTTTTCTTTCTGAATACTTCATTATGAAAATTTCCAAATGCTCACAAAAGTAGGGAGAATACCAAGATGAACTCTGATTTACTCAGCACCCAAACCTGACAATCATTAATATTCATGATGTTTTTCCTGTGCTGAAGTATTTTCAAGCAAGCCCCAGGCTTCATGACATTTCATCCTGATACTTAAGTCTCACTACTTGAAGACATTTTCTTAGATGACTCCAGTCCTATAATCACACCAATACTAACAATCACACTAATCGCTGGATCATTAATATCACCCAGTACCCTGAATGTGTGATTTCCCCTTATTGTCCCCATGTCTTTTATAGCTGTCTTTTGCAACCATTTCTGTGAAAGTTCCAGTTATGTTTTTCCTCTCCCCTGCATTTCCATTCCTAGTCATGGGGTAAGACCATGGCTGATCAGTAAATCTTTTAAATAACCCAACTAACATCTTGATAAAAATGTTTTAAATCCACGTTACAAAACAGCCTATTGCACATGAGCACCTTTTAAACATTTTATTTTGAAATAATTTCAGATGTACATAAAAGTTGTAGAAATAGACCACAATGCTCCTACTTGCCCTTGTATCAGGATTCCCATTTGTGAGTGTTTCTGTACCATAAATTGCAGGCATCATGGCCCATAATTCCTTAATGTTCCAGTGTATGTTTCCTCTATATAAGGGGAATCTACCAGGTAACCACAGTATAACCATCAAAACCAAGATATTAATATTAATCAATATTAATATATGATCCCCGGATGCCATTCAAATATCCCTTCCTCATGTTTTAAAATTACATAGTACTACTTACATTTTCCTGAAAAATAAAACAAAAAAATTACAAAAATGCCTCCACTTTTGCACACTCCAAGATTCAGGTCCCTTATTAAATCATCAGGCCTTTTGTTTTCATATATTTTTCTGTGCAACCCATAAAGGGTTATAGGTGACATTCCCCCTACTTTATTTTGAATATGCAAACTTGCTTTTTTCTCATAAAAATACCTTTCTGGAGTTCATTCTGTGTCAATAAATCATGATCTTATCCTTTTAAAATTAATTTTTAATTCTTTTAAGTTGAAATTTAATTTTTGCTCCTGCTGCTTAATAAAAAATATCCACCACACAGGCATCCCACAATATGCATGAATATGCCTAAGTTTAGCCATTTCTATGATTGCTCCTTGTGTTTTGCTTCCATCAACATTCTAATGCCTTTTTCAGGTCCATACATCTCTGTATTCTCCCGATTACTAAGCATGGCAACTGAAGGTATGAAACAGCAATTTAGATTCTAAAAATGTTCTGCCAAACTGCCTCTAGCAAAGCCTTTACTGGTCAGCTCTCCCAGTGAGATAAGAGATCGCCTTTCCCCCCAGAGTAATCAATATTAGATATTATCCCTCCCTTTATAAAGCCAGTTTTAATGGCTAGAAATGGTAATTTGATATGCTTTTAAATTTACTCCCTTGCTGATGAAGTCAGTAACTTCACTTGTGACAAATCTGAAAGATTGACACTAAAAGTATCAGTGGCAGCTATCGTGCTTAATAAATGAGATCTACTGGCACCTGTCTCATTTCTGTCCGTCCTGTTGAACGTTGGCATTCAGAGTGTGGCCCTCATCTGAGAGCTCTCCACATTAGGTGCTTCATTACTCACACAATAAACGAAGAAAATTATTGAGCACCTACTACATGCCAAGCAGGCACTGTCTGGGCGTTGGGGAAACAGCAATAAATGGCCCCCAGGAAGCTCATATCCTAGGACAATAAACAAATAATCTCTATTATTGTTGTCTGCATGGACGGGCCCGGAGAGAATGCAATCATGTTTATTAATACAGCCGCTTAAAGGCTGCAGAAAGGGGGTTATAGGTGAAAGGAGGGCATAAAGTGGACAACTGTTGAAACGGTGAGGAGCACACGGGCATTCCTTCTCTGTGCTTCCATACACTGTGAAAATCCTTACGGTTAAAAACACGCTAGCGGCACGGAGCGCGCCGGGGAGGTTTCCCGTCTAGACCGCGGTTCCCACCGCCTGCAGGCACTTCTTCCCTCACTAGCGTGGGGCGTCATCACCGAAACCCGCAGGGACGCCGTCCGCGGCCGGCCCTTCTCAACCGCGGTCCGAGTCCGCGCGGCGTGAACGGCGAGCGTCAGTATCAAGTATACCGGGAATCACCCAATTTGTGCGAGGCGGCGGCGTGGTTTCTGTGAGAATGCCCACCTGCATCTGCGGCCTGAAGAGATGCATACTGAAGTACTGTTTACCTGAAAATACTAAGCAATTTGTCCAATGAAGCTGACAGGAGTTAATCTAGGTGAGAATATGCATGTTATTAACCTCACTATTGAACAGGACTTTATAAAAGACTAAAATTTTTACTTTTTTTCCCCCCTCGAGTACTGCAATCAGTATTTACTGGAATGGGACGGAGGTTCCCCCTTGTGCCCCGGCCGGGGGGGGATCAGCTCACCCTCGGCACCTTCACCCTGCTCAGCCTCCCGGGGGCCCGCCAGCCGCTCCGCGCTCACAGGCTCCGGCATCTCCGCCATTTCCCAACGCGGGAACGTGGCGCATGCGCCTTCGACACTTGGGTGGGGAAAAACCAAAACCACGCGAGGGCAGACAGGCTCTCGGCGCGCATGCGTGTAGTGACCCGAGGTGACGCAGGGGCGCGAACCTGCAGCTCCAGTTCAGAGAAAACGGGCAGAACTGGGGTCCGGGCGGGTGGGGGACTCCACGGAGGGCGCTCTCCCCGGGTTGCTCGCGTAGGGCAGGAGAAAAGCTGTCTGTGGCAGTGGCCATTCTCAATTAAGATTTTAGGAGTCCACACAAAGTCAAGTCTGGGACAAACGTGCATGTGCTATGCGATGGTACACAAGAGTTTCTGAGTCCCTTTTCATTCACAAATCCTCTCTTAACAGCCAGGGAGAGGTGAGTTATCTCCATTTCACAAATGAGCAGAATGAGCCTTAGAAACTAGGTGAGAGTAACTCCTATGTAAAAACCATGGACCTCAGCTGCTGTGTGAAGTCAGGGGCTTTGCTCCTGGTCACACACAGCTAGACTGGAGGCCACCTTTCTCACTAACATTAGCAGCAATCAACATCGATGGGGTCATTTTTGACAGGGTAAAGATGAAGTACATGAGGGCAAAGGAATGTCCTCGTGGGGATTGGTTTAGGCCTTTTCTTTAGTTTTTTTCTTTGTGCAGTTATGCTGCTACCCATCTCTGTTGTGGGCAAGCCCTCAGTTCTTGCCCCACAGCCCAGGGAGAGAGAGATCAGCCACAGACACCACCATTTAACCACCCCACCCTTCCCACCTGTCTCACTTCCAGGGTGGAGACAGAAGGTAAAAGCCAAAGGTGGTCGTTCCCAGCACTGCCCAATTTGGGAGTTCTGCCCCTCAAGGTCCAGTGAACAAGCCGTTATGGGAAGCTTGGTCTGCAGAGGCAGATGAAGCTGCTGGGGGTGTGGAGTACTTGGGTGGGTAACGAATGAAGAGCCGATCCTCCTCTTTCTTCACCCAGCGCAGGAGTTTGGTCACTACCAAGATGGCACCTGTCTTGGTCACCAGGGGGCTGAGACAGGTATAGAGCTCAAATTTGGAAGTCACCTGTGGATTTGAGAGAAGACAGTCAGTTGGGCGGGAGCTGGTTATGCCCAATCCTGTCCATCCAACCCTAGCCCCATGCCTATCTCCTGTTTGGCGGCAGCTCCCACCTGGTGCTGCCTGGTTACTGGTAAACTGATATTATTATGCCATGGGTGGGCCAGGGGTTCTCAGTTGAGCCAAAGGATCATTTAGATCAAGAGGCTTCAATTGGGTGATGCTGGCTGTACCGTGGACCTCAGTTTGCTTATCTGTAGAATGGGTATAACAACAATGCTTTTTAATGAACAATTGCTGCATACAAGGTCATGTTCTGAACTCCACACACCTATGTCTTTATCATCTGTATTCTGAGTGTAATAAGAGGATTAATTCAATTTAATCCTCACAACTACCTGAGCAGCTTAACGTGACCAGATCACCAGTATCTTTCCACACCACCTCTCACTGATCTCCCCTCACTCCCTATGTCACAGCCACTCTAGCCTCTCCTTGCTATTTCCCCAAACATAAACCAAGCTCACAGCATTTGCACAGTCCTTTCCCTCTGCTGGCTGTACTCTTCCTGCAGATACCCACATGGCCCACTACCTCCCCTCCCACTTAGGAGAAGATGCCTTCTCCTCGGTGAGGCATCTCCTGATCACCCAATTTTAAATCCTGGGCCTACCATATCTTGGCTTTGAAATACCATTCTTCACTAAAGGGTACAAGGGCTACTTGGACAAATGGACTGACACAGAGAAAGTAAAAGATGAGCTTGGGACATCTTGTGCCAGAAAGAAAGAAGTATTTCAACAGTGATGGGGACATGTCAAAATGACACAGGGGCAAATGTGCCTAAATCACAGCTCCCACTGGCTATATCAGAGACAATTTGAGCAACAAAACAGATAATAGACAAGAAAAATAAATGATAGAAAAGGATTTTAGCCCACTGAATTAAAGAAAAATCCATGACACCATACTGATATAAAATTAAAAATTTAACAAACACACACAGGAGTTCTCCGAGACAACAGAATCTCGAACGGTAACTGTAGAAGGAATGATAGGGTTACAAAACCACCATTTGGTAAACACCAAAGTAATAACTGTTGCAGGCAAGAATTATTAATGGATATTAAAATTAGTGAATGAGAGCATAATGAAAAACAGAACACTAAAATAATCACCTCATGCTATTTACTAATCACAAAGGGGAAAAATACTAATTTTAGATAAATCTGATGGATTATTTAACTAAGTGATCAAGGTTAACATCATCAACAATGAAACAAACTGACATCATGGGTCTCCTGATATGATGTACAGGACACAACATCACTTCTGTGATATTCTTTCCAAAAATGCATTACCTCAATTTAATCATGATAAAACATCAGAAAAACCAAAGTTGAGGGACATTCTACAAACTAACTGGCTGGCCCTCTTTAACAGTGCTAAGGTCATGAAAGACAAAAAAGACTGAGGAACTGTTCCAGAATAAATGAGACTAGGGAGACACAATAAATAAATCCAACATGTGATCCTGGACAGAATTCTGGACCAGTAAAAAAACACTAGTGGGACAACTGGTGAAATCTGAATGAAGTCTGTGGATTAGACATTATTATACTGATGTTAATTCCCTGATTTTGGTAAGTTACTGTGGTTCTGTTAATATCTGGAGAAACTAGGTGATAAAACTATTTATAGTAATTTTTGTACTACTTTGCAACTCTCTGTAAGTCTAAAATTGCTTGAAAATTAAAGTTTAAAAAAAATTAAAAATACAATAAAGTCCTTGGCCTGCAACAATGCCTGATACACAATAGGCACCCAACAAATTTTTTAATAAATGTACACTGAATGGCAGAGCCTGGGGAAAGGTGCCATTTCCAATGGGGTCACCTTAACCAAACTCCCAGAATAGCTGACTTTTACTAGACCCATACAAAGTGGGGACAGGAGACCCGGAAAGACCCCAGGGAAGGATATCCCAGGTAAAAAACATAGCATGGGACCAAGCCTGTGGTTTCAAAGAATTCTGGGAAGGGACCGAGGGAGTCAAAACTGAACTAGTGCCTGTAGACACATGGGTGGGCCTAATGGGAAAATGGGAAATCAGCAGGCACAGTGAGGGTTGCTAATGGGGAAACAGCAAACTGAATGATGGGCTGATGAGGTTTGTAGACACTGATTGACCCTTAACAGGTTTCAAAGACACATGGGTAATGCAGGAACAGTGTTGAAAGCAAAAGTATACAAAGCCCAGGCAAAGGCATGGTGTGTTTGTTGATGGATGGAGTTTGTTATGACTGGGGGGGGGGAGGGATACAATGGACAGAAAAAAGAATTGAAACAGAGCCCTCTACCCAACTCACCCAGGCCAGCAGTGTCTCCTTCTCAGCCACGTGGTAAATGAGGCGCAGAGGCCGGGAAGTACTATGGAGGCGCGCATGCAGGCGGTGGTATAGGTCCGATAGGCGCTGCCGTTCCTCCTCTCTGCTGTACGGGGCCTCTAGCTCTGGGCTGCAGTGATGACAGGGGTAGGGGATAAGGTCAGTCTAAGGCTTTCTAGGTTGGCCCATCTCCCCCCAGTCTAGGGAGCTCAATTAAGTTAGGGGGCTAAGCCTTCCCATTAAACTTGAGGACTGTCCATGGCTAGAGGACCAGCTATCCCATTAAACTATAGGATTCCTTGAGTACGGGGTTGTGGTCTCCATTAGAATAAGGAATTACTTGAAATTGGTAGTTGAGCCTCCCTCATCAGTTAGACGCCCATTCTATTCCATCTTTCTAGAGCATGGCTGTCTCTCTTTCCCAAATCATGTCTAGGAGATGCTGAACCTTCCAGTTAGATAAGCCTTCCCACCCAGCGAACTGCCCACAGGGTCAGGACCTACCTGGTAAACTGGGGTAGCTGGCGGTGATGGTCGGGGATGTCCAGTGGCTTATAGAGGAAGTGCCGGAGGCGAGGTGCCCCCACAGCCTGCACACTGTAGGAAGGGGCACTGGCTGATGGGGCATTAGAGAAGTTGGCAGCCTCCCCAAGGGTACGCATGGCACCAAGGGTGAGCATGCCGTCTTCCACCAGGCGCCGGCAGTTGGCCATGTCATGGAAGGCCTCGGGGTCGGTGCCAAGCAGCAGCAGACAGACAGGCATGGCGTCCAGGCGGGCCACATAGGCATAGAAGAAACCATCTGGGTTGAAGCGGGGCAGGCACACAGGTGCCCATGCCTCCCCCGCTGCAAAGGCCGGTGCACTGACCCAGTTGAGCAACAATTGCAGGTCGGCTGGGTCCAGCCGGCACTCAGCCAGCACATTCCGCTCCTGGGCTGCTGTCACCAGTTGACCACTCACCGCCAGCACAGAGAGTGCCAGGCCAGGTGCTGTGCAACGTCGGAGCAGTGCACCCAGCGCTTCCCGCAGCGGGCGAGCGAGGGGCACACAGCGCACGGCACCCAGGAGCAGGGCACCTGGGTCCCGCTCCACACTGTCTAGAAGCCGGTCTAGTGTGCGCTCTGAGCCAGCCAGCAGGCGGCGGAGGTCGTAGTTCTGCTTTCGGGCAAAGATGCGGGCCACGCTTGCGCGTGTCAATGTGCTCACGATCTGTGCGTGCACAGCTAGCAGCTCCCCCCGCAACTGGGCTGCTGACTGAGGAGTCCTTGACACAGCCACCAGCAGCAGTGGGCCCTGCTGTAGGAACACCAGCTTGTGGTCCTCTAGGGGAGGGAAGGGATGGGCAGGAGGTAGAGATGAGTCAGTGATGACTGGAGGGGGTCAGGTGAGGCTCTTCCGCCCTTTCCCTGCACTCACACCTCTGGCCCAAGCTTGCACAGGGTCACTCTGCGGACACTTGGACTAGAGTAAGGACAATCTGGGGGAGTTTGAACATTTGTAAAGACATAATGGGATGGTCAAAGGATCAGGTTAGACATACAACATGAAGTGGGGGGAGATGAAGCAAGGACTGACAGGAAGACATCCAACTCAGCCACAAAGCCCTCAACAAAATGCTGTCAGACAAACAAGGAAGTATCCAGCAAGTCACTTACATCCCAGTGAGTTAATCACGCAGAATCCAGAAGGCCAAACTGACAAATGGACACAGCCCCCAGCCCCACCCTTCAGATGCCTGGACAGCCATCCACATACACTCACCCACACCTGGCTGGCTGGACAGTGCAGGAAGTCAGACAGACCTACAGCTACCCAGCCAGCTATATCCATATTCCCAATCACTGCCCCCTGTTCTACATCCTGCCCCTTTGCTCACCAGCATAGATGGCGCGGATGGCATCTCCTGCACTCTGCACGAAGGACACGAGAGCTGTCATCACACCCATGGTAGTGGACAGTGCCTCCACACTACCATACCTCGAGTAGATGGGCTTGCCTGCCTCGCTCAGCACAAACACATGCTTCCGCTTGCTGCGCCAGTCCTCGTCACTGGGGTCTCCGCCCTGAACCCCAGAGCCACTCTCAGGGTCACCCATGGGATTATTCTCAGAAGCTGCAGGATCCCAGAGTCTACAGGTACATGAAGGGGACTCTGACTGGGGCAGTGGTGACAGCAGCAGGCTGGGTGGCTGGTCCTTGGTGTCGGATCCTGAAAGCGAGCCTCTGGTGGGTCATGTCTGTGGACTCACCCCATGTGCCCAAGGACCCACCGTGTCCCGTGTCCGTCCCCCCCCCCACCAC